TTGGTTAGCCTAACGCAGTACACGTAGCAAGGTGTATATATATTATGCAGCTCATTAAAGATTAATCTTGCAGCGGCATTTTGGATTAATTGTAGAGGTTTGATAGAAGTGGCTGGAAGAAATGAAACAACAATATGGTTGTTGTCTCTGTGTAAACTATAAAAACACAATTTTGTTAAAACAGTGACGTCATTTGCATGTGTATTACGTGTTCAGTCTACAGGAATGTGTATGTGTGCAGGAGCCTAGTGTTTCTTTACTTTTCCATTTCATTTAATTAGATATTGCTATTGTTGAAGTACCTGTGGTTGCAATGCAGTCAAATCCCACAAAGGCATAAAAACAGGTAGCGGCACCAGCAAAAGTTCCCTCAAAACCAAAGGGAAAGAATCCTCCAGTTCCAAAACTGGATAAAGTTTCATTTGAGGTTGAGAGATTTCTAAACAAAAATAGCAATGTTAAAAAAAATATTTCAATGTATTGTGGTAATTTAAAAAAGTAATTAAAATGTGTGTTAAACAGTTTCTCAATTTCCTAGTTTAATTTTTAAAGCTGTTGATCTAAACCACGCAGTCAAACTCTTTACCATTACCACAAATGCCCTGGAAATGTCATAATGCAACATACGCAGTTATTGTGTAGTTCCAAATTTCCTCCTCTGTTATCTGCCAGTTTCCAATGTCACCCTTGATGAATCCAGCAATGACGACAAAAACCAGAACTACAATATTTATAGCTGTGAAGATCTTATTGACAATGGCAGACTCCTTCACCCCAAATGCAAGGATACCTAAAAAATTAAAACAATCAACATAAATCTAACTCATGTTGATTCAAATGACTGTATATTAACATAACTCATTTATTGACACTATAACAAATTTACTGTAAATCTTACTTGCCTGCCAAAACCAGAATAAGGCCAGCGGCGAAGAAGTCTGGATAGGGAGCGAGGCCAGGTAAATTCATTGGGGTATTTTCACTCAAATAACTGGCAATCTTATTTCCAATCAAGTCATCGAAAGTGCCACTCCATGCTCTTGCCACACTGGATGTACCTGTCATAAAGTCATTCAGATCAAGCAATTCAGTTATACAAACATTCGTTAAGCAGTTTTATAAGGCATATAATTATAGGCATAATCATTTAGTGAGTCATGTATAATGTCATGAAATAAATCTTGTAAGATTAATATTACTGATTAAAATGATTGGAGAATGTTAAATAGTTTATGGAAAACTTATTTGAACTTAGCTGCGTTTGCTAAAGGCACTGCGAGTTCATGTTTTTTTTTTAAAGCTACACTAGTGACTACTAGGGATGGGCGTACATTTTTGTCTGACAAACAAACCAGACAAGAGAGTAGATTAACGTCGGTAAGCTTGAACTTGAAAAATAGTGTGCATAGACATCTCTCCGCGGTTGAAACGATACCTTCTGATGTTCATTCATGTTTATTTCATGCTATAACTAGTAAACCGGTGCTACAGCGATCTGTCATGAGACATTTATGATTTATGAACATTTATTGTTTGAATTTCTTTAAAAAAAAGTCAAAATTTGAAGGCTGAGACTTTGTTTCATACCAAAAGTAACCTACTCTGCCTTGTTTGTCAGCGCATTGTCAGTTTTCTCTTTGCTCCATGATGTATTTTTCACTGCGTGAGAACATGATGTGTGACGTGAGAGTGCCATGGTTTGTCAGACATAGCAACAGTAATGAAGGGGGGACGGGTCTTTGTGAAGGGTCAATTCAGAGATTTATGCTTCCAGTCTTTAAAAAGGACAACAACAACAAAAAAATTTTGAATTACTTTTTTTTTTGTCCTTTTGGCAGTTTAAATTACCATTTTGTTTGGAATGGAAGAATTAAAGTCAAGTAACTCTTGAATGGCATGAGAGTGAGAAAAGTGGAGGCAGAATTTTAATTTTTGGCTAAATTCTTGGTGTCTAGGTCTAGGTAATGGGCGTTGTCAATATTAATGAACAGCCAGCTCAAATAAAGCATACTGTTTGAATGGACTGTTAATGCTGGGCATTAAATGTTTGTTCTTACCTATGATGTATGCCAACAGTAAGTTCCAGCCGGTGATGAAGGCCCACACCTCTCCGACAGTGACGTAGCTGTACAGGTAGGCAGAGCCAGTCTTGGGCACTCGGGCACTAAACTCTGCATAACACAAGCCCGCAAACACAGATGCCACTGCTGAAATGAAGAATGACACAATGATGCTGGGACCAGCTACTGTTCTGGAAACCTCCCCAGAAAGGACATAGACCCCAGCACCAAGTGTACTTCCCACCCCAAGGGCCACTAGGTCGAGTGTGGTTAAGCAACGCTTGAAGTTGGACTCTTCACCATCAGGCTCCAGTGGCTTTCGCCTCGATAGGCTCTTCAAAAAGGACAGCACCTTGTCACAGAACATCCTGAGACAAATAATATAGGCGATTATGTAATATTTAATCTATGTCTATCATATGTTAATAATACATATATTCAAGAGAAGCACATTTGTCATCCTGTGCATTCTGTAATTAAAAAGTTGCACTTCAAACATTTGCTTTTCATTATTTTTTTTACAATGTAAGTCTTTGTTATTCATTCATTTAAACCCATTTGGTCATTTTGATCATTTATGTTTTTTAAGTCCGCTAATTAGTAATTACCCAGTGTTTGAAATGTGTTCTGTCAATAAACATGCCTTGCGTTAATTATTCAGTGTGCAGCCGTGAAAGACTTAAATGTACACAGCGCTTCCGTGATCAGGAGATAATAATAATAAATTGATTTGTATACAACCTTTCATATATAAAATGCAGCTCAAAGTACTTTATAGGTCAAAACAATAGCTATGGCAATAAAAAAAAGAGGAAATAAGGGGGAAAAAATAAAATCATAACCAAAGGGATGTAAAATATATAAAGCATTTGCTCTTCATTGTTTTATTACAATGTACATATTTTTTATTTATATATTGTCTTTCTTTATTATTCATTCTTTGAAACCCAAGATAATTTTCAACCATTCTTTTTCCTTAGTCCCTTTTAAATTATTTTAAATGTTTAAAAATAATATGCCTATTTAAAGCACTCAAAATTACACACTTTGTATGAAATGTGTTTCATGCAAATAAGTTAGCAGAGGGTTAGAAGAAGAACTACCTATCGTACATAAAATGCAGCTCAAAAAAGTACTTTATAGGTCAGATCATAAACTATTTAGAAAAAGGCATAAACTATAAAAAATAAAAACAAGAATGGAAAAAAGTGGGGAAAAAAATAAATAAATGGAAAGGAGTTGAGCGAAAAAATACACAATGAAAAAAGAGAGTTGATATATAGTAATAAAAAGATAAAGAACAAATGTTTTAAATGCTTAGAGCTCGTATAATTTCATTTAGTTGAACATTTTGGGGCATAATGGCTACAAACAGCTGTTCTTTTATAGTTTACATCAGGGCTGTCCAAACTCGGTCCTGGAGGGCCGGTGTCCTGCAGAGTTTAGCTCCAACTTGCCTCAACATACCTGACTGGAAGTTTCTATACCTAGTAAGAGCTTGATTAGCTGGTTTAGGTGCGTTTAATTAGGGTTGGAGCTAAACTCTGCAGGACATCGGCCCTCCAGGACGGAGTTTGGACAGCCCTGGTTTACATCAGTTAATTTTAACTGTAATTTTATTCATCATGTTTTTGTTTTTTTTACACTTGATAGAATACATTTTAACAATGTCCCGTCCACTAAAATGTTCAAAAGTCATATAACTTATCTCCACCGTTTCCTTATATGCACAGAATATCTGGCACATACACTCTTAAAAATAAAGGTGCTTCACGATGCCATAGAAGAACCTTTTTGCCTAAATGGTTCCATAAAAGGTTCTTTGGGGCGAAAAAAGGTTCTTCAGATTATAAAAAGGTAAGAAAGAGATGGTTCTTTAAAGAACCTTTGACTGAATAGTTCTTTGTGGAACCAAAAATGGTTCTTCTATGGCATCGCTTGAAGAACCTTTTGAAGCACCTTTATTTTTAAGAGTGTACTGTTATCTTGCTTTTATGATGTTCTCTTAAACAGACTAATGTATGTGCTCCCTAATGGGAATCAACATCTTGTGATTGTGATCTTGTGAACCATAAAATACTAAACAAACCCTTGCCAAATATTCAAATAGAAGCATCTTTATCTTCACATGAATTGCAATGTCTTTTAGTATAGCAGTGATTAAGTAGCTTACTATTGTTGAAGTACCTGTGGTTGCAATGCAGTCAAATCCCACAAAGGCATAAAAACAGGTAGCGGCACCAGCAAAAGTTCCCTCAAAACCAAAGGGAAAGAATCCTCCAGTTCCAAAACTGGATAAAGTTTCATTTGAGGTTGAGAGATTTCTAAACAAAAATAGCAATGTTAAAAAAAATATTTCAATGTATTGTGGTAATTTAAAAAAGTAATTAAAATGTGTGTTAAACAGTTTCTCAATTTCCTAGTTTAATTTTTAAAGCTGTTGATCTAAACCACGCAGTCAAACTCTTTACCATTACCACAAATGCCCTGGAAATGTCATAATGCAACATACGCAGTTATTGTGTAGTTCCAAATTTCCTCCTCTGTTATCTGCCAGTTTCCAATGTCACCCTTGATGAATCCAGTAATGATTACAAAAACCAGAACTACCATATTTATAGCTGTGAAGATCTTGTTGACAATGGCAGACTCCTTCACCCCAAAGGCAAGGATCCCTGAGAAATTACAACAATCAACATAAATTTAACCCATGTTGATTCAAATGACTGTATCTTAACATAACTAATTTATTGACACTACAACAAATTTACTATAAGTCTTACTTACCTGCCAAAACCAGGATAAGGCCAGCGGCAAAGAAGTCTGGATAGGGAGCGAGGCCAGGTAAATTCATTGGGGTATTTTCACTCAAATAACTGGCAATCTTATTTCCAATCAAGTCATCGAAAGTGCCACTCCATGCTCTTGCCACACTGGATGTACCTGTCATAAAGTCATTCAGATCAAGCAATTCAGTTATACAAACATTCGTTAAGCAGTTTTATAAGGCATATAATTATAGGCATAATCATTTAGTGAGTCATGTATAATGTCATGAAATAAATCTTGTAAGATTAATATTACTGATTAAAATGATTGGAGAATGTTAAATAGTTTATGGAAAACTTATTTGAACTTAGCTGCGTTTGCTAAAGGCACTGCGAGTTCATGTTTTTTTTTTAAAGCTACACTAGTGACTACTAGGGATGGGCGTACATTTTTGTCTGACAAACAAACCAGACAAGAGAGTAGATTAACGTCGGTAAGCTTGAACTTGAAAAATAGTGTGCATAGACATCTCTCCGCGGTTGAAACGATACCTTCTGATGTTCATTCATGTTTATTTCATGCTATAACTAGTAAACAGGTGCTACAGCGATCTGTCATGAGACATTTATGATTTATGAACATTTATTGTTTGAATTTCTTTAAAAAAAAGTCCAAATTTGAAGGCTGAGACTTTGTTTCATACCAAAAGTAACCTACTCTGCCTTGTTTGTCAGCGCATTGTCAGTTTTCTCTTTGCTCCATGATGTATTTTTCACTGCGTGAGAACATGATGTGTGACGTGAGAGTGCCATGGTTTGTCAGACATAGCAACAGTAATGAAGGGGGGACGGGTCTTTGTGAAGGGTCAATTCAGAGATTTATGCTTCCAGTCTTTAAAAAGGACAACAACAACAAAAAAATTTTGAATTACTTTTTTTTTTGTCCTTTTGGCAGTTTAAATTACCATTTTGTTTGGAATGGAAGAATTAAAGTCAAGTAACTCTTGAATGGCATGAGAGTGAGAAAAGTGGAGGCAGAATTTTCATTTTTGGCTAAATTCTTGGTGTCTAGGTCTAGGTAATGGGCGTTGTCAATATTAATGAACAGCCAGCTCAAATAAAGCATACTGTTTGAATGGACTGTTAATGCTGGGCATTAAATGTTTGTTCTTACCTATGATGTATGCCAACAGTAAGTTCCAGCCGGTGATGAAGGCCCACACCTCTCCGACAGTGACGTAGCTGTACAGGTAGGCAGAGCCAGTCTTGGGCACTCGGGCACTAAACTCTGCATAACACAAGCCCGCAAACACAGATGCCACTGCTGAAATGAAGAATGACACAATGATGCTGGGACCAGCTACTGTTCTGGAAACCTCCCCAGAAAGGACATAGACCCCAGCACCAAGTGTACTTCCCACCCCAAGGGCCACTAGGTCGAGTGTGGTTAAGCAACGCTTGAAGTTGGACTCTTCACCATCAGGCTCCAGTGGCTTTCGCCTCGATAGGCTCTTCAAAAAGGACAGCACCTTGTCACAGAACATCCTGAGACAAATAATATATGTAATATTGTAATATTTAATCTATGTCTATCATATGTTAATAATACATATATTCAAGAGAAGCACATTTGTCATCCTTGTAATTAAATAATTAAAAACAACAGCATCTGCCAATTGAACTTCTGTAACCTTAAGTTTATTCATGTTAATATATTTTATTAAACATAACAATTGACAAATGTTTACATTTTTTATATATTACTATACAGTAGTGGTTCAACGGATTACAAATCTCACGGTTCGGATCACATTACGGTTTTAGACCCACGGATCGGATAGTTTTTCGGATCAGTAAGAAAATAAAAATATTTAAATTTAACTTGCTTTCCATTTATTACTTAAAGTGAAGTACTTTGATACCACAGCAAATACTACTAGATTAACTAAGAAAGTTTAAACATGATTAAAGAGAACAGGCAGTAAAAATAAGAACAAATACACAAATTACAAGTATAGATAAATACAAAAAATATGTTAAAAATAAAATAAGGTTGGTAGTATTCAAATACAGAAATGTAATAATTTGTGAAAATAACACTGCAGTGTTCACTGCATAAATTTAATATGCCTATTTAAAGCACTCAAAATTACACACTTTGTATGAAATGTGTTTCATGCAAATAAGTTAGCAGAGGGTTAGAAGAAGAACTACCTATCGTACATAAAATGCAGCTCAAAAAAGTACTTTATAGGTCAGATCATAAACTATTTAGAAAAAGGCATAAACTATAAAAAATAAAAACAAGAATGGAAAAAAGTGGGGAAAAAAATAAATAAATGGAAAGGAGTTGAGCGAAAAAATACACAATGAAAAAAGAGAGTTGATATATAGTAATAAAAAGATAAAGAACAAATGTTTTAAATGCTTAGAGCTCGTATAATTTCATTTAGTTGAACATTTTGGGGCATAATGGCTACAAACAGCTGTTCTTTTATAGTTTACATCAGGGCTGTCCAAACTCGGTCCTGGAGGGCCGGTGTCCTGCAGAGTTTAGCTCCAACTTGCCTCAACATACCTGACTGGAAGTTTCTATACCTAGTAAGAGCTTGATTAGCTGGTTTAGGTGTGTTTAATTAGGGTTGGAGCTAAACTCTGCAGGACATCGGCCCTCCAGGACGGAGTTTGGACAGCCCTGGTTTACATCAGTTAATTTTAACTGTAATTTTATTCATCATGTTTTTGTTTTTTTTACACTTGATAGAATACATTTTAACAATGTCCCGTCCACTAAAATGTTCAAAAGTCATATAACTTATCTCCACCGTTTCCTTATATGCACAGAATATCTGGCACATACACTCTTAAAAATAAAGGTGCTTCACGATGCCATAGAAGAACCTTTTTGCCTAAATGGTTCCATAAAAGGTTCTTTGGGGCGAAAAAAGGTTCTTCAGATTATAAAAAGGTAAGAAAGAGATGGTTCTTTAAAGAACCTTTGACTGAATAGTTCTTTGTGGAACCAAAAATGGTTCTTCTATGGCATCGCTTGAAGAACCTTTTGAAGCACCTTTATTTTTAAGAGTGTACTGTTATCTTGCTTTTATGATGTTCTCTTAAACAGACTAATGTATGTGCTCCCTAATGGGAATCAACATCTTGTGATTGTGATCTTGTGAACCATAAAATACTAAACAAACCCTTGCCAAATATTCAAATAGAAGCATCTTTATCTTCACATGAATTGCAATGTCTTTTAGTATAGCAGTGATTAAGTAGCTTACCTGTCTGCTCAGAATCCAGGCGTGTGTTGTGGTCCAAGAGTTCCTGAGCACAGCCTATATCAGAGGGCCCCTCCTGTAAACTCTCACGTGTCCAAAATGCCCATGTGTCATTTTTGACAGACTCCGTTACATTTAGAAGAAATGTGTGATTTATGGAGAAGAGATAGGCATTCGTAAAAAATAATTTTGCAGTTGTAAGCCTGACATATACAAGGTATTTAACAAAAGAACCCTAAAAGTCTATTGTGAGGAGGTTATGATTTAAAAAGCTGTAAAATCCCAAATATTAGCAATAAAAAAAAACAATAGTCATGACATTGTTGAATGTTGACCCGATGCAGAATCAACAAGGTGCTTACTTAATAGTTTCAGTAATACTTTGTAATGCCAAAAGGCTATTTCTTCCACACAAAAAAAAGAAAAAAAAGAACACCTACAGGTAAAAGACAAACATCAGCACATAGAAGAAAACGACTTGACCAAATGTTTATGTCCTCCTCATCTCCTAACATCCCAAAGAGCAATTTAATTCATGATTATAAAGACTAAAAAAAGTATTCCATAGTGCTTGAAAATAACAGACCCCATTAATATTTAATCTTAAAGACTAATAGAGACTAAAGACTGAAAGGTGCTAAAAATTCCATGCTAAAAATTAATTTGCAGCGACAAAGAATGGTTTATAAAACATGCTTTAAATTAACCATATTATTCTATATTATTTCAAAATATGTGAATGTTCTCTAACATATGTACAGTATAATAAAACACGAAATGAAGGAAATAAAGATGACTGGCAGATGAATCATGGAAATACTGAAGTTCACTGTCAAATCTGATACTATGGCCGTTTAAAAATATAAGGGGCAAAATCTGTTATTACTTGCTGACTCTTATTATTACACTATCAGTGGCTGAAGTCCATGCCTATATCCCGAATAGCAAACTACCACACTGTTAGTATTACTGCCGCAGTAACTAGAGGATCCTGGGTTTTCGCTCCCATATTTCTTTCTTGACTCATTATTTTGTATTGCTTTTAAAAAATAGTTCTAAAGATGTGAGTAATATTGAGTAGCTTCAGAAAATAACTGGCCAGTAAGTCTGTGTGTTTCTTCACCCCCAAAGAAAACCGGTCCAAAAAAAGTCAAAGAAGCACCAAGTTTTGTGTTTTACCAAACAAACCTATTTGCATGATGTGTTTGGTTTCACATAACAAAGGTATTATACAGTATCTGATATATTGAACAGTACTGTATATTTAGCAGTAGCCTTCAAAAAGATGGCAACCTACTATTACAACGAAGTAAAGCACTGGCCACTAGTGGTGGTTTTGCACTGCCCAACCAAAACGTATTAGGAAATAATATTTATGTGAATCAGTTGCATTCAGGTTCAACAAGGCTAAGGTAGGATAATCATTATTACAGTTACAGTTTACATCTTAACAACCCACTTACCACAGGTGTGGTCAAGCTGACTTGTAATATGTGTTGAGAATGACTGTAGCTAAGGTATTTTTCATCTTTCAAGTAAATGTGTTTAAGGAAATACATGTTGTATTTTGTTAGTAGACAGTTGGAGTGGCTCTTAGAATCACTGCAAGGTAAGGGTATCATGTGGAATGATGTAGTTATTTGCTGAAGGAAGCAAAACTAATGCAAAAAACCTTCAGAAAATGACCAAAGGTCTAATATGCCATTTAGAATGCAAAGCTAAAAGACAAATCATTAATTTTTCTTTAATAATCTGTAATGATGGATCCCGTAATGCTTTTATTCCTAATGAATGCCATTTGCCTTTGCTCTTATTTATTTTATTCTTTTGTTTTCTTTTCTATTCCATAATGAAAGAGAAAAAAAAACAAAAATTAAGACAATAGTTCAAAATCAGATTGATTTCTGGGAGGTCTTGGGCCACAGGGTGATTGTGATCCTCATTCACCTTACCCACGTTGAATGGGGATCCAATTATACAGAGAGCCAGATCTAAAAATTGGCACAAAGTCCCTTAAGAGCCATCAGGAGGCAACCAGATTTTAAGGGGCTTATTAAGGCCAGTATATATAAAGTATATGAGGGAGCAATTGGGAAAATCTACCTGGTTAGCCAGAACTGTTTGGTCCTCAAGGAGATGTTCACCCTGGGTAAGGAGGATGAGCTGAACTGCTGCTAGATCCATACTTGTGGTCTGTTATGTAACGGTTGCAGGACAAAGAGAAGTTAAAGGGGTCATATGATGCGATTTCAATTTTTCCTTTCTCTTTGGAGTGTTACAAGCTCTTGGTGCATATAGAAGATCTGTAAAGTTGCAAAGACTAAAGTCTCAAATCCAAAGAGATATTCTTTATAAAAGTTAAGAGTCAGCCACGCCTACCTAAAACGGCTCGTTCTAACATGCCCCAACATATCTACATCACTATGCGGGAAGATTTGCATAACGTCAACCAACGCAAAGAACGCAAAGAAAGATGGTGTCGAGATATTCTCGCTGTAGAATTGTTGTTGACACGCCATGTCGTGAAGGCACTGTGTGATTCTTTGTGAAAGCGAAACTACTTTGTTTGGCCTTCCAAAAGAGGACTTTATCTGCTTCGTCATGCCTGGAGCTGATCCGTGCTGGTTGCTGAGGAAATACTACAACTTTGCGCTGTGGATCACCGGATCGGCTTTCACCGTGGACAAAGTAGAGTCCAGCCCGGTGTCGTCGCAAGTGACGCACGTGGTTGCCGCAAGCCCGCCGGACGTTCCTTCAGCGATACCCTAATGCCTAAATTTATATTCAGCATGGGAAAATCATACAAATGAGTTGAAATTAATTAATATTGATTAGTAATAATTCAGTTTCCTCTGAGTTTAATGAACTTGTAAGGCTCTCAATTCATCTACTTTTACAATGCCCTAAAATACTCTTTTTGAGAGGAAAAAAGTTGAGTGTTTAGCAGAATAGGCAAGCTTTGGGATATACTGCCACGTCATAAAATTGTCGCATAGTTACATTCTGTCACTGTAAAGAGCCTGTCAATCATTTTGTCACAGTTAATACCCTCAAATACACACTCCACATATTATATCTCCTATGGACTGCCCTGGACTCTCTATACGATATTCTCCTCGAAAGACTTACCTTCTGGTTCTCCCGCGATCCTCCAACGACTCCTTGGAAGCTGTTCCACGATTTCCCACGAAACTGGCATCAGACACTCACCCTCAGAACTCAGATAAGAACCCTGGAATCAGTCACTCTGTTGACTCTCATCT